GTAAATATCGATTAAATTTATCGATAATAGTGCAATACTTGGACAGTTGGCAAAGCAGACTACGCGAAAAAATATACTAAAAACAAAGCACAAGGGAGTGTCCCTGGGCCCCACCCCTGTCAAAGAAAAATGATGAAGAAAAAAAAAAAACAAGCATGAATGGGGCGCGCAACAGACGCTCAAACAAACAAAGGATAAAGTATGTGGTTAGGCGCACGGCGGAGTCAGCAGGAAGTTGTACACACTCACTCACAAGCACACACACACACACGCAGGCACACATACAGTCATACATATAAAGTAAATGCGAAAACGTGGCGCGAATATAAAATGTAGACGCTGATGACGCGGCACTGCGGTCGTTGCGTTTTTCAAGATACATTTCTTTCGTTTCACTTCCAATCGACTTAAAACTTGCGCGTACTTTTATTATTATTTTTGTGATAAAAAAAAAAAAATAAATGGTTTTCGTTGGCAGAGGAAACAAAGATAATAAACGCACACATATGCACATCAAACTATTGAGTGAAGTGCTTCGTGTGTGTGTGTTGATAAGAGCAAATAAGGCCGGTTAGTTATTTTATTATATGCGGCGAGCGGTGTGAGTCGCATAAAGGGCAATTTTCCCTCTCTCTCATCCACTCACTCTCTCTCTCTCTCTCACTCGCCTACTTCAATCTTTCGTCAACCAGCTCAGCTTGTATGAAAAAGAGTGCGCAGGGGATAAACAGCGCAATGCTATCACGCCAGTGTTGGAAAGTGCACACATGCTTGTGTTGTGCCGGCCAAACCCGGCTATGAGAAATTACTCACAAACACACACATACACACACGGGCACAGACACAGGCTGCGCTTAGCCGTTGCAGGCTAAACACCTTTCATCGAATGCACTCTAAATGACGAATCATCTTTGTTTTAACACTCAATTGAGTGACTAATCCACCTGAGAGCGATTATTTTTTTTTTTTTTAATGAGTCACAAACTAATCGAAGGCTTTGCTTTTGATAATCAACAGCAGCCAATTTGTCCAGCTGTGCCCTGTTGTGCTATTAATATATTCAATTCTGCGGCAGCATCTAGACGAATTCTTATCAGCTACTTTGACAACGATTGCACCAATACAGTTTTACAGGCACTTAAGAATTTGAAAATTTTGCGTTTGTATATGTGGGTGACCGCGACAGACGGTAAGAAGCTGACCAGAGAGCTGCGCAGTCGGCTGTATTGGCCATAGCAGACGAGAGAGCTGGAGAGAAAGAGAATAAGAGAGAGAGAGAGAGAGCACGCATGCAGGGGGTGCACACCCATACAGGGTGGGAGTTGCTTTATCAAACGAAATAAAAGTACAAATGGCGGACGAGAAGCAAAGCGATTAAGGCACAGCAGTACATAAGAGCATGCAAAATGCACTGAATTAAACATTCGATCTAAAAACTTTGCAATTTTTGTTAAATTTTGATCTGCAACTTTGCATTTTCGATTGCATTTAACAACGATTTGTTCTGTTTACAGGATTCATTCATCTTTAAGCATGTCATGTCAAAACTATAAACTAAATTCAGAAGCTAAACTTGCTAAATGACAGCTTCCAAAGTTGGATATTTCAATTTCATGAAATTGTTTAGTTTACTTTGAACTATTTGATGAAGTCCTGCTGGGGTATATATTTGCCTGCTGCTATTGCTCTCTCTCTCTCTCTCTCTCTCTCGCTGTTTCTCTCTTTGTATGCGTGGGTGTTGAGATGTGCGTGTGAGTTTGTATGTGTGTGAGCAGACTGAGGACGCATTGTTGCTGGTGGTCGGTCACACCCTTGAACTTGCTAAAAATGTCTCAGTGTCGAATTGCAAACGCAAAGGAGAATTTGTTCGGCAAGATTAGTTGACTGGATTAACGGTACTCACCTCAAAGCCATTGGACTGCGCCCAAATGTTGCCATCGTGTCCGGCAATGCACGCCTTGGTGATGCACTGCGAGGCCAAAAGTTGATTATCAACATAATCTTGCCAGCTCATGATTGTAGTTTGTTGTTGTTGTTGTTGTATTTGTTGTTGTTGTGGTGGTGGTGGTTGTTAATAACTATTGAATATATGTATAGATGTATTTGTTGTATTTCACACACGCGTTACTTTGTTTCAATTTGTTATTGCTGCTGCTGTAGTCGTTGTTGCTGTTGTTACACACTTTTCACGCCACCAAGAAATTTAGTATAGTGAGAGTGAGAAAATCGTGAATTTTCTACGTAATTTGTTTAAGGAAACTTATTTAAACTGCAATGAGAGAGGGTAGAAAAGAGAGATATGTAGAGAAATTAACGATAATTTGACGAATTAAAACTTTACGCCTTTTCAAAAATGTGAAATTTTCTTCTTTTATTTTTATTTTAATTTTTTTTTTTTTTTTTGTTTGTGCGCCGCCTGTCAAATCTCGATTTTTACGTTGAAACTCGAAAAGCAGTGCATACTTCTTTTTTTTTTTTAATTTGCTGTTTCTTCAAAAAAAACGCACACACACTAACACAGCCAGCAAAAGATAGCGCACACACACACATGCACACACTATGAACAGAGGGTAAACCGTACGTAGCAGCAGCAGCAGCCCCAACACGTCCGACTTGCACAGAATGACAAAAACGATTGAATGCAAAATGTTGTTTAGTGGCTCCAAGCATGGAAAATCGAGAAGAAAAAAAAAGGCACTCAGAGCGCGCGTGAGTCACAGCTGCCGCCGACGCTAGCACTCTCACCCACCGATTCACTCGACGAGTGCAATGCCAAAAACTGTGCGCTGGAATATGTGTGCGAGTGAAATGGCATATATGGCCGTTATAAATCGCCGGTCGTGCAATGCAAATGAGTGAGTGAGAGCAGGCGATGACTCAACAATCTCAAGTCTCCTTGCCTGATTCTATGAGTAAGTGTGTGTATGTGTGTGTGTGTTATGAATCGGCCTTTTCTGCCGCTGCTTGAGTGCTTTTCTAGCCGGTCGAGTAACCGACGACGAGGATGGTCAATCATAAATTAAAAATAGATTTTTAAATTTTAATATGTACATACACATGTATATGTACGAACAGATTATATATTTATCATTATCTGCCGTAAATGCTGCCCAACAAGCAATTATTTGCCGAAAAGCAAAAGCGCAAGGCCAGCAACCAATTTTTGACATTTCTTGCAATGAGGCAGCGAGACACCGACCGGCTGCTTAACTTTTTCCACTTCTTTTTTGCACACTTATACACACATGCAACCCATAGATGTACATACACACACACACATATGCGTGCAGCCAACGCCGTCGGCGAATATACGCATATGTGTCTGTATGTGCGTGTAATTGAGTCGGCCTTTCATTTGTAACTTGGCTTTGTATTGAAACAACGTCTTGCTGCTAACCTTTTCGATAGAAATTCAACTGCCGGCCACACAAACTTTAATTATAATTTGTACATATTCAACAATTTGCAATTAATACGCTAAGTTCTCCAAAATCCAATGCTAACTCACACTTTTCACACGCTGTGTGATGCGGCGATGAAATTATACTGACTAAGGGACCAGAAGCATCGATAGTTCAATGAAATCGATATTAAAATACGCGATTATATATCGCGATGAATTTGTTAATCTCAAACTATATTCGATATACAAATTGATATGATACGAAAAAAACAAACATTTATATTGAATACATGTATATAGCTGGTAAAATTACAGCTTCAAATATTTACATAGCTTTGTTCATAAATCATAAACTATCATTTTTAGCTACCCGTAATCTTTGTTTGAATTTGAAAAATCTATATTCTCTAAAAAATACTGCATGCTGAAAACAATTGAGTAGGTACGATAGTAAGTCGATGACAAAAATGTAGTGAATGAGTCATTAGGTCTCAATCGAATGGCAGCACCGCTCCCACTGTATTTGTATATCGATTGTTAGCATTGATAACTTTATAAAACTGAATAATCAACTTATATATCAATAAAAAAAACATTAATTATTTATTTTTCTTAAAATAAAAATGATTTCAACTATAAAGTCTTTTGAATATTGCAGTTTTCGAGTTGAAAATTGCGATAGTTAAACTCTGATATATCGATAACTTGGTTGCTTCCCTTACATCACTAAAAGTTTTGCAAGATGGAGCCTCTTTTGCTTGGTTTTAACAATCAGCAGCACGTGTATAAAAAGTGCCAAAAAATAATCAGAAAATGTTAGTATTATTCAACGATTTAATTCATAATAAGTGAAAGTCGAATTAACAAGGCTGTTTGCAAAAATTTGCTAATAAATTTAAGCCCGTATAAGTGAGCAATAGTATACAAAACTGCATTCGAAAATTTAACCCAAAATGTGAAACACAAAACGAAAAGAATTTTTACACGACGTCGATGGACGTTGCGGCACGAGTGACGGGCAATGGCAGAGAGAGAGATAGAGAGCGAGAACGAATAAGAGAGAATTTAGTGGTTGTTGATGGTGTGCGTGTGTGTGACGTTGGGTCAAATATATATGTGTATATATATATATATATATAGAATTTTTTGGAACGACACAGGGTTAATAAATAACAAAGAAAATAAGTCATCCGATTTATTCCATACGAGGTTAAATGAGTTTCTTGCTTTGCAGTGAAGTTCATCTGAACGCAGCAACAATGAAATCATTGCATTTATACAAATTTCGCTCTCTCTCGCACACACAAATGCTCGCATTTTGACTCATGGTCGCTGACTGGATGTTAAAATGGAATGAACAATGAATGGCTACCTATTGCGATTCAATGCCAACACTGCTATCACTATATATAAATATGTATGACATATACATACATACATATGCGCATATTTGTATGAAAAATAGGTGCTTTCCTAGTGCGGTGAATTCATAGAATTTCTCAAATACTTTGGTGGTTGTGCCGCTAAGCGCTACCTTTTTCTCTCCCTTTTCGGCACTAATACACTCACTCATATTGCAAGTGGTTGAAACACACGCCTTAAATTTGCCTGTTGGCTTAAACATTTTCTTGCCTGCTTCGTTTAGTACCTTTTTTTTTTGCTTTAATCTACTACTATTTCCCAGCTACTACGCACATGCAACACTGCAGTTAAAAGTAGATAGCTCGTTACTGCTCAGACACATGCACACGACCGAAGCAACCACTGACATTGACACATCTAGTTCACTCTTTCGCACACACACACACACAGATACACTCATTGGACGACGGTGACGACGAGACGCTCAAAAGGCCGCCTAGCGGTCGTTAAAACTCACACTGGCATTCGCTCGCATACGTGAAAATACCGCAGAACAGCACGCACAACAAAACACGTTTGTGTGCACTCTGTGAAAAGAAAAGAAAAAAAAAAATTTTCGTTACAAATTTTTGACATACAACTAATCCAGAAATTGTTTAACTGAACGGTGCTCAAGCCGTCGAAATTCAGTATACAAATTTAACTAGTCAATTTTTTATTGTTGATAATGTAAGTGTCGTTTTCGCTGTTGCTGCTGGGCCCACCCGCCTGCCTCCGCATCGACTTCTATGTCGTCGTTTTTCTGCCTTTGGTTGCCAAGCGCAGATTCGCCATAACCAAAAAAAAAAAAAAATTATGAGAAAACAAAAAATAACGTAGAAAAGAAAATTTTCATTTGAATGCATTAATGACAACCTTTTGGGTGTGTGTGTGTTTTTTTTCCATAGGGATGATCGAAGTGAAATAGCTCAAGATGGTCCCGCTGGCATGGACCCCGAGGGCGTCATCGAGTCGACCTGGCATGAGGTCTACGATAATTTCGATGACATGAACTTGCGCGAGGAGCTGCTGCGCGGCATCTATGGCTACGGTTTCGAGAAGCCATCGGCCATTCAACAGCGCGCTATCATTCCTTGCGTCAAGGGTCGCGATGTCATTGCCCAGGCCCAGTCCGGTGAGTAATTTATACATACCCCACGTACGTAAAACCAACAACGCAGCAAAAAGAAAACAAATTTCGCTTCAGCGAGAAAGTGCAATTTTTTTTTTTTGTTATGGGGGCGCTGCTAAAGCTAGCAGCAGCGGCAGCGGATGATGACGATAACGGTGACTCAGCTGTCTGTTGCTGCTGCAGCAGCAGCAGCTTGTGCTCTCTCAATTTTTGTTACTGGCACACACACACACTTTCTCTCGCTCTCTCCATCTCTCTCTCTCTCGTTTACTCTTCCGCTCTGTTGGTGAGCAGCGAAGCGCTTGCGCGCCACTTTTGCGTTCGCCTTTAGCGCGTTTTTATGATCTTTGCAAACGCTCAACTAGAACAGCGTTGCCCAACTTTGCAAAAAAAAAAAGATGCAGAAATATATATATATATATGTATGTGTGTGCATTTAGAGAAAATATTAGCCTAGGCGCTGATTGGTTGATAAATTGTTTTTGTTCAATACAATTTTCATTCAAACTTCTCCTATACAAAAAACTATCCCTGAAGCGGGATATCAACCATATTTGATGTTTATTTATTTATTGATGTCTTGCATTAAATTATGAAAATTAAATGCTTAGAATACATGAAAATTGCATATTAAATGAAAAATATGAAAATTGTGATAATTGCAATTATTTAACCATCAAAAGGGAAAATTTCTGATATCTTTTCAATATTTTGGGTGCAACTTTGAAAACAAAAAAAAAAAAATGTACGAAGCAGTTCTATATATGCATATACCCCATGACTATATCAAAGTTTCAACTCGACATTCAATATTAAACCTGGCCTAAATGACCTTGATTGTTAAGACTGTAAACAAACTGCGACTGTTGTTCATATATTCCGATTCCGATTCCGATCGGCGGAACATAGCTTGACACGCTAGTTATTAACTTGGAATACTTTTGGTTGGTCATTTTGTAGGTACTGGCAAGACTGCCACCTTCTCGATTGCCATCCTTCAGCAAATCGACACGTCCATGCGCGAATGTCAGGCTTTGATCCTGGCACCAACTCGCGAATTGGCCACCCAAATTCAGCGTGTGGTTATGGCACTTGGTGAGTACATGAAGGTGCATTCGCATGCCTGCATTGGCGGCACCAATGTGCGCGAGGATGCTCGCATTTTGGAGTCCGGTTGCCACGTGGTAGTTGGCACACCCGGTCGTGTCTATGACATGATCAATCGCAAGGTGCTGCGCACGCAGTCCATCAAGCTGTTCGTACTGGATGAGGCCGATGAGATGTTGTCGCGCGGCTTCAAAGATCAAATCCAGGATGTATTCAAGATGCTGCCGCCGGATGTCCAGGTGATCTTGCTGTCTGCCACCATGCCACCAGATGTACTCGAAGTGAGCCGTTGCTTTATGCGTGAGCCAGTTAGCATTCTGGTTAAGAAGGAGGAGTTGACACTCGAGGGTATCAAGCAGTTCTATGTGAACGTTAAGCAGGAGAACTGGAAGTTGGGCACACTGTGCGATCTGTACGATACGCTGTCCATTACCCAGTCGGTTATCTTCTGTAATACCCGTCGCAAGGTAAGCATCCACGAATACCCGGATCTCAAAGATATATATATATATATAGCGCTATTCTATTCAATAATCTATATATGTTTTGAAATCTATTTCTTGCGCTCTAAACCGCTTGACTTCATCAATCATCCTCAATCGAACGGGGAGACTACTTTATCAAAGAGCTTGACAGTTTATAAGATTTGCTTTATTTGCTGCTTTACCATCAGGTCGATCAGCTTACCCAGGAGATGTCTAACCACAACTTTACCGTGTCGGCCATGCATGGTGACATGGATCAACGCGATCGTGAGGTTATCATGAAACAATTCCGTTCGGGCTCTTCCCGTGTTCTGATTACAACCGATTTATTGGCGCGTGGCATTGATGTGCAGCAGGTGTCGTTGGTCATCAACTATGATCTGCCCTCGAATCGCGAGAACTATATTCATAGGTAAGCTATCTACTGCCCAGGCCCAGTCACAATATTCTACTAAAATCTGTTTGTATTATAGAATCGGTCGCGGTGGTCGTTTCGGTCGCAAGGGTGTTGCGATCAACTTCATCACAGATGATGATCGACGAATCCTTAAGGATATTGAACAATTCTATCACACTACTATTGAGGAAATGCCTGCTAATATTGCCGATTTGATTTAAATATTTTGTTGAGCATAAAAAAAAAAAATAATAATAATAAATACAAGAAAAATAAACAAGAAAAAGTGAGTGAGCTACAGCAAAAGAGTTGCGAAAAAAAAGTGCGCAAAATATATTTAAAAACAAAATAAGAACTTTAAAACCTAAAATCACGTTAAATATTTATTCAAACAACAATACTAAAACAGCAGGAGCAACAACAACAACAACTGCAGCGGCAAGGCGAAAACTACAACAACAACAACAGCGACAGCAACAACTATAATCATTAGGCAGAGACAGAGACAAGAACAACAACAACAACAACCGCTGGCTGGCTGGCTGGCCCTTTGCCCTTTGCTGCCTCTAATCCTAATTAATTAACCAAACCAACAGAAGAAGACCAGCTGTAACATCAATTTGAATACTGCGTCGTCAACAAGCAACAAACAATTAAAAACTATAAAAGCTAAAACTGGGATATACCAACAGCAACAACAGCAACAACAACACGAGGACAACATCTTTCGATTTGTGTGTGTGCCGCAAACAGCAACAACAACAACCACAACAACAACAACAACATTGTTTTAGCCTTTTCTAGAACTATTGATAAAAATATATTAAAAACAAACAAAAAACAAAAACAAAACAAATTATATGTACACAATTTTATGTTTAAATATAACACATACAGTCTAAAAATAACACCCAGAGCAGCTGATCAGTCAGCCGGGTAAAGCCACAGCCACCCACTCACCCTTCCCTCCCCCCACCCACCCACCCACACACACACACTCACATAGTTAAGAGCAGATCAAGATAATGCAGCAAACGAAACTAATTGCAACCCGCTGTGCCGCATATCATCCGCACGCCAGCAACAACAGCAGCACCATCCGCTTGGTGCAATGCATCGGTTATTTGAGCATAATTTTAAACAAATTATTTGAAATGCAAAATTTAAATATTGTACTACTACACAATTATAAATTATTGTATAAATGGCTAACAAAAGGCAACAGCTGTGTATTCATTTCGATTTCGTCAGGTGGAAGTGCACCTGCGATTTGAAAGACGCAATTTGAGATTGCATATTTGTAGCAATAAGTTGCGTGAGTTGGCAGCACTGAAAAATAAAGCTGGCTTGTTATCGATATACGGAAGCAACCATGTCATTTTGGCATTTACCAACACTAATTTGCTATGTGGGTGGCTTGCCGCTGCTGCGGCTTCATTTACAATTTTCACTTTGCCGATGTCGCGTTGCTGTCGCTACTTTTAAGAAAAAAAAAAAAAAAAAACACCTATTGTTTTGTGCCCGCCGCATCGGTCGATAATGCCAAAGCTCTGTGTTTAAGCCGTCACACTTAACGCTCAGAACACAACATCGATAAACAGTACAAAACAAATATATTTAGTTAGAGAAATGGGCCAAAAAGTGTCGCGCAACGACTTTGAATGGGTTTACACGGAAGAGCCGCACGCATCGCGTCGCAAAATTATACTCGAGAAATATCCGCAAATCAAGAAACTGTTTGGCCATGATCCCAACTTCAAATGGATTGCCGGCGCCATGGTGCTAACCCAAATACTGGCCCTGTTCATTGTCAAGGACTTGTCATGGCCCTGGCTATTGTTGATGGCCTATTGCTTTGGCGGCATTCTGAATCATTCGCTCATGCTGGCCGTGCACGAAATATCGCACAATCTGGCCTTCGGCCACAGCCGTCCCATGCACAATCGCATTTTGGGCTTCATTTGCAATTTGCCGATTGGCCTGCCCATGAGCATATCCTTCAAGAAATATCACCTGGAGCATCATCGGTAAGCTGACACTTGATGACGTTACTTATATACCACATATATATATATATATATATATATATGTGTGTGTGTATGTACATATAAAAACAAATAAAATGTTTCTGGGCGTAGCCATGTGAGAGCTTTTCCCGCTGCCCGCAACCTTCTTGTTAGCTAATAGACCGGCAGGGCCGCTTTGCAACACTGTCCAAATGCCGCTCGTCAAAAATTTCCCTTATAAAATGTCTCTCTCTCCCACTCTCTCTCTCTCTCTCTCTCTCTGATAAGCTGTTTGTGTATAAAAAGTGTGCATTAAAATTCAAAGAATAAATCCATTTAAAGCTTTTGGGTTGTAATTTATGTGCTATCGACGTATATTTGAATAATACTTCCTTTTGAAATGTTCGCATTTGTGAGTCAACAATAAATAATATGCAATAACTGGGGATTTGCCCATATACCATCGATAGCGCGTTTATGATTGCGATAAGATTTGAAAGTTTTTATGGTTTAAACTATTTTATTCATATCAGTAACGTTCGTAATTGAATAAGTGTTTCAATTGGTCACGTAGCTGCTCATAATATTTTTTTATTCATTTTGTTATTTGTGTTTGCGTCGCCTATCTGAGTCATTCGCTCTGGTCTATCAGTCGGCACTTTGGCGCGGGCCCCTCGAATGCCGTTTTAATGAGAGTGTAGCAATTGATTTATTTGTTAGGCAATTATAAAAGATGAAAGAGAAACAGGCAGACGGAGCGTGTGTTAGTTCTTATAAGCCCCCTTTGGCTATCTTATCCACTATCTCAAGTCCAAACAAATCTTATCTTTGAAGGTAAACTGAAGGAAACTCTCACAACATTCGTCTGTTATGTTAGCAGCGTAAGCAATATAGCCTTACAGACAGATGGCTTTATAAGCATGTTAACTCTTATATTGCGGCTTGAGCATGGATCAATGCACTGTTATTAACATTTTGCTGTAATAACAGAATGTTATCGGAAAAGCTCACAACATTCTTCTGTTATGTTATTTGCGTAAGCAATATAGCCTTACAGACAGATTGTTTTATAAGCATGTTAACTCTTATATTGCGGCTTGAGCATAGATCAGTGCACTGTTATTAACATTTTGTTGTAATAATAGAATGTTATCGGAAAATCTCACAACATTTGTCTGTTATGTTAACAGCGTAAGCAATATAGCCTTACAGAGTTATGGGTTTATAAGCATGTTAACTCTTATATTGCGGCTTGAGCATAGATCAGTGCACTGTTATTTAACATTTTGGTGTAATAAAAGAATGTTAACGGATATTTGAATTGGATTCGCAATTGGCCAGAAAGAAAAGTAAATATAATTAATACAGGATATATAAGAATGTAGGGCTCTTTATAAATAAACTGTGTTTCCATGAATTTCTGGGACCCACTCATTAATAGACCAGGTGTACGCCGTTAATCTATATGGTCATTGAATTGTCCGGATTTTTAAGCCGCACACTTAAATATAGATAGATAACCCACAGCTGAGTCACATGCCGAGACATAGAGAATGGCACATTCGGCTCACGCGTGTCTGGGACACAGGTGCTAATGATTAGTGGGTCGCGTTTATCTTATCTATTAGTTGCTTGAATACCTTGTTTATGGTGCCAATACCCGAATGATAAGGCAAACTAGTTTTTTTTTTTTTAAATGGAATCGTATTTGAAGTTTAAGTCAAAAATCACTCGGGGAAAATCTCAAAGATATCCCATGATAGATATGTATATGAGATGAACAAATGTTTGATATAGTTGAAAGTTCGATTCCCTTTTGGATCGGTAAACGTCGAATTGTGAGAACCAAAAGCTGGTCTTGGAATTTTTGTGCGGCTTTCCCTTTGGCCAATTGATAAAACTATTTACAAACACAATCACGATAACATTTGATATTTGTTGCCATGCATTCCGGTTTCTCCACATAAATCATAATTAATGCGTCAATTTTCAATTGTTTATAGGTTGATTCATGCTATAAAAAAGTCGAACCAGACTAGAACTCAGAAACCTCTCTTAGTTTCATTCAACGATAAGGAAAACTCAAGCAATTCCGCATGTCAAATTTAACCTCATGTCAAGTTGTTTGAGAAAGAGACTCTCTATAGGATTTTGTCAAAGGGAAATGAGGCATTAGCTGGGAGTTCCTTTTGGGAATATGCTAAAAATACAGTTTTATGCTATTTCTTCATTTAACAATTGTTTCTTTTTTGTTTTCCTAATCCTCACAGCTATCAAGGCGACGAGGTGATTGATACGGATATACCCACCCTGCTGGAGGCGCGACTATTCGACACGACCTTTGGCAAGTTTATGTGGGTGTGCCTGCAGCCGTTCTTCTACATCTTCCGGCCGCTGGTGATCAATCCGAAGCCACCGACACGACTGGAGATCATCAATACGATCATACAGCTGGCATTCAATGCGGCTGTCGTCTATTTTATTGGCTGGAAGGCGATGGCCTATCTGCTGATTGGCTCCATACTGGCGATGGGTCTGCATCCGGTGGCGGGCCATTTCATATCGGAGCACTATATGTTCGCCAAGGGCTTTGAGACATACTCGTATTATGGCCCGCTCAATTGGATCACCTTCAATGTGGGCTATCACAATGAGCATCATGATTTTCCAGCCGTGCCCGGCTCCCGGCTGCCGGAGGTGAAGCGCATCGCCAAGGAGTTCTACGAGACGATGCCACAGCACACCAGCTGGACGCGTGTGCTCTACGATTTTGTGATGGATCCCGCTGTGGGTCCCTATGCGCGTGTCAAGCGGCGACAGCGCGGTCTCGCCTCCTAATCCGACCAAGACAAGCACAGTTTGCGGGCGCGGATGATGCAATGATTTTACTAGCGGTTTCCTGGCATTATGTAATCTCAGTGTTTAGAACTAGATACTTAGAACTTTGTTGTTTTTTATTTCTTCTTCTGTCAACTGTAACATGAACAACCTGCTCTTTTATGGCTGGCTTTAGTTTTGGTTAAGTGCAAACAATTTGCCACAGTTGATTTAACGTATTTATAGTATTAGAACATGTAAAGCTTAAGCGCTTGTATTAAACTATTATTGTTAACTCACACACACACACACACACACACACAACTGAAGAGAGCTAAAGCTAGAACTAAATATTGTATATTTTTAGTTATTGTCGCCAGATGCAGCCAACTATTTTTGATAGCCTCTTGTAACTGACATTCAAGTACCAAAAAAAAATGAGAAATATGTGAAACTGAAAACCAACGTTAACTCAACTTTACGCGGCATTACGCTCTAAACCAAATTTATATATATATGTGTATATATAAAATCAAGAAACGATTGTCCCACATATACTCGTATGCGTATGTAATAAAGAACACAACAACAAACTGAAATTTGTTGAACATTTGTTGCTCAATTTCCCGCAGGTGATTACATTTTATATATATATAAATATATAATGTATTTTAATAATTATATGTGCCGTGTGTCATGTGAATCGGTTATGGCACATGCAGCCTGATTGACTTCAATTGAGGCTGATAAAATGCTGCGTGCGATTGATAAGCGTACGATACAGCACATAACATGCCCTCTAAAAAGCTGCTCACACGAAACACCCAATTGACCTTGTCTATTTTACATAATATCAAATGGAAAGTTTCCGACTTACCAATTTGGATAACGAATGCGAAATGCTGGGCCGATCATTTGATGCATGCGCATTATACAATTAAAGTTGCTTACAAGCAATTGGATACCCTGTAAAAAATGATTTGCAATTAATCTTGTGCACGCATCTTATTATAGGATATTATTTTAATACATTTTGGGTGTATTTGGGGTCCTAACCGCAAGCTGTGAATAAATTTAAAATTTCAGAAATCTGTAGGTTCTAATTGTGAGCAATTTTAGGGCCCAAGAGATAAACACAATTAAATTATCCACTACGCTTCTCCCTTGTCATGAGGAGCTGACAATCTAAAAAGCGGTACGTTTATTTACAGTCGAGCGATATTTGGCTTTATTTATTTTTTTTTTTTTGGGCCTAATTGAGATAACAGCTAATTGGCAAAAATTACGTTTGGGTGCATCTTAAAATAGCTTGAATTGTGGCTACAAATTTTGTCAACAGAGTTTTTCATGAGTCATTCATCAACTGGAACGTGATTTAAGTGAAAAGCGAGCGAATGTTCAGATAGAACTCAAATGAGTTAATAAACCAAAAGTATTCGAGTCGAAAAGGCTTCTTAACATACTTTCTACAGTCTTTAACCAAACGTTGACCAACACTGAATCAGAAAGCTCATGGTTAATGTTTGCAATGCAGTTAAAGTAGCTTGCAACGTTAATTTTACATATTAAGCTAGCAGACAAAGCACTTTTCACGACCAAAAAATGTGCTTGGTTAAACGTCAACTTAATAAATAGTGTAACATTTCTGCACACTGTTGACGATAGATTTGTCATAAGGTTTGCCATTTAGAGCTACAATAATAATATATGTTTACAAACAAGCAACAACGATATCTATTTCCATATAAAAGGTGTTATCGCAACGCCAGGTGCTTCCCATTAGTCTAGCCTAAAGCCAACCATACATACCTGCTAGACGGTAGGCGCATTACCAAATCTATGACTAACTGGCAATTTGTCATTTGGCCTGGTGCACGTGTTGGCCAAAGCGTAGCTCAAATTCAACTGCTGACAGATACAGGTGAAAAGTAAGTGACATATTCATGCATGCATAACTTAACTTAAACACTAAGCTTAAGGAAAACACATGATACCTAATTTCCTTTTTAAATACTATTTATATATAATTTATTTATATGTATAATAGAATTACATATTGAGGGGGGGGTCTTGTGGAGGGGCGGTAGGGTTTGAATTGTTGTTGAAAGAAATCGTACAGTGTTAGCTTAATTAAATAAAATGGTTGTGCCTTAATATGATAGGGTATTTTGCTTCTTCTTCTTCTTCTGGGCTGTTTTTTTTTTACCCCGCTCGTTTTTTTTTTACACGCTTAAAAAATGATTTTACAAAGTGTTTTTTCTCGTCTTCTTCTTTTTCTACCGCATAATTCTAAGCTTGTTGTTGTACGTTAAGAAGTTATTTGTTTTTTTTTTTTGCAATTTTTTTTCGGGTTTTTTCTTTTTCGTTTTTTCAAAGTGTGTTGTTCTCTAATCAGCTTACTAGATTTAAATTAAAAATTATACATTTGTTTATATCCATTTTTATTTAAATGTAAACTTAGCTTTAGGGCTGCAATTTATTTATATTAAATGTATTATCTGATGCATTTGTTGCATCATCAAGTGTTTTGTTTTTGTTGGTTTTGCTTCTTTTTTTTTTGTTTTTTATTTATTATTATTTATCTTGTGTATTTATGCTACATATTTATTTATTTTTTATTTATAAATCAATCATTCTGTAATAGGAAAAACAAATAAAACATACAAGAGAAAAATTGATTACAGCGCGCCACGCGAACAAAATTATCGCATTTAAATTGGAAGATATTATATATATATATATAAATAAATATATATATATATATATAAATGTGTATAAATTAACAATTAAATTTTACTTGGCTTTTCACTTTAAGCAAACGGAAAAACTGTACAGAAGTAAAAAATATGTAAATTGTTTTTTAAGTTTTTTTTTTGAATGAAATAATAAAAAAGAAACGTAAAAAACGCGCGCGCGTCGCACAAAACTTAAAGCGAACACAAACTGTAAATTAAATTAACAAAAACTAATAGTAGCAGGTAATGGTAATTAATTATATGCATGTATATATAAACATATATATATATACTTACATATATATATATATATTTACATAAGGTAAATATAATAGAACGTTTAACGAACGTAAAGTGTGTACCGCGCCTACACATACAAAATTTGTTGATATTTTGCATTTTGCATTTTACAGTTGAATTGAATTTTCACATAATTAGTTACTTTTTCAATTGTGTTTGCGTGTGTCCGTTTGTGTGTGTGTGTTAATTTTCTGCTCATATTTGCATTTTGAAATACGTTTGCGTTATAATAGCAATAATTAGTAAATATGTACTACACAAAACGTTTAAGTGACTTTTTTTCTTTTTTTTTTTTTTTTTTTTTTTTTTTACTAAAACTTAGTAAATACCGTTTAACGCATTACGTTGCGTGAGTGTTGGCTGCTCTTCTCTCTCTCTCTCTCTCTCTGTGTCTGTGTGTGAGTTCGTTTTGTCTATGCGTGTGCGATAAACACTGCGTTAGCAGTTTATCGATAAATTACAAGCTTTAATCGAGGGTGCTGCCAACCGTTGTCAAATTGATGTTGTTCTTGTTGTTGTTGTTGTTGTTGGTTTTGCTTGCGATCCAATCCACATTTTCTGCAGTCTACCGCGCCGACTGCGCTGCTCGCTGCTTCCCTGGCGTTCCTGTGCTCAGCGTCAGGCTGCTGGTTGTCGTTGTGGTCACCGTTAAACTGCTGCTGCCGCCGGCGACGCCGACGCTGACAGTTTTCGAACAGCGAATACATATGTAATCATCGTCGGCCTTAATTTGACTACGATTCAGGCCCACACAGTACATGTGAAACCATTCGTTGCAGCCGCCATCGCATTGCACCCAATCCACCTCACGTCCGGTTGGCTTATGGCAATTCTCGGCACGGCATTCCTCTTCGTCATCCTCCTGTGCCGTTTGCTGTGTGCGTTGCGCATGCTTTTTCTGTCCGCCGCCGCCACCAGCGCCACCTGTTGTTGGATTGTTATTGCCCGCTGTGGTGGGCGTGTTGCCGGCATTGCCGTTGCCATTGTTGTTGTTGTTGCTGCTGCTGCTGCTGTTATTGTTGTTGTTGTTATTATTATTGTTTGTTGTGTTTGTTGTTGTTGTCGTAGTGGTTGTGCGCTTGCGCTTCTTGTGGCCAGATGCCGGCATGGGCGTGGCGCCAGCTGCTGGTGTCGTTGCGGCCGGTGTCGTTGGTGTTGTTGCCGTTGTATTCCCACCGTTCGCCTGCTTGTTCTCGGCATCCGCATCGACGCCGGGCGAGCTGCTCGCCTTGCTGTCACTTTTGCGCACCGCTTGCGACTTTTTGCCCGGCGTCTGTTTGGGCGTATTCTGTTTCTTGCGCGGCACAGCCACATTGGCGCTGCTGGCATCATTGGAGCGACGTTTTTTATTGCGCACTGCCGCCGCCTGCGCCGCGCCGCTGCCAGCGCCGGGACTCGGACTATTCTGCACAAGCAGGCTATCATTGGAATCCTCAGCGCCGCTATGGATGCTAGATGTGGTTGTTGCCACCAGTGTGCCTGTTGTCGCCTGGATTTGCTGCTGCTGCTGACGGTGCTGTTGCAAATGTTGGGCGACACGCGATTTTGCCTCCGCTTGCAGCGTTGTCGGCGGCATCGTTTCCAGTATGCGCCACAGCTCTTGCGTCTCATCCAGCGACACCTCTAACAAATCGCCCTCCATCATTAGCTCGAGCAGATTCTCAATTTCGCTTTCGGAGAGCAATTTTAAGAGATCAGTGCTGTTGTTGTTGCTGCTGCTGCTGCTGCTGTTGTTGTTGCTGGTGATTTGCACATTGTTGGCCGCGTGTCGCGGCAGCTGCTCGTCCTCATCATTGCTATACCCATCCTCCACAATGCGCAGCCGGCATTCATCGTCATCGTCATCGTCATCCACATCATCCCCATTATCCTCGTTATCTGACTCGGAACGCCCCGCATTGTTGGCTTCCTGCTTGGACAGATTGTGCGTACGTCGCGGCTTCCTTGGACTGCTTATGTTGCCCAGCACGGCGGCGCCGCAGCTGGTGCTCTCCGTGCGACGCTTCTGATGTTGAACCAAAATGGCATCTAGAGCGGCGCTGACGTCGGGACTGCTGAGCGCTTTGCGTGCACGATCCTGCCAGTTCATGGCACGCTCCGCCAAACAGCGCAACGCCTCATCCTCAGGTAGACGTATGGGCAGCTGTTGCAGCTGCACGAGCAGCGGCAGAATGGTCTCCAAACGTGGACGCTTCGAACGCACACAGCTCGGACACAGCCACTTTTCTTGTGCCGGCATTGATGCAACTCCAACTCCACCATTAATTGCACCTCCATTGCCATTGCCATTGCCATTTTGTTGGGCCATCAGTGGCTGGGCTTCCGGCACCGGTGGCACGCAATCCTCGTGAAACCAATCGCGGCACAGCTGGCAATTGTGCATGAGGCCCCGAAATTCGGACTTGCATAGACAGAAGACGTCGCGCAAGGGATTCTTGGTCATATTCTGGCGCCTTAGATCGCGCATATCGCGCAATTCCTGCTCCTCGGCATGCTTGAAGCTGGCCACTATTTCGGCGGGATTCTTGTCCTTTAGGAAATCATCTTGGAAACGCGGCTTGAGATCCGAGTCAATATTGATGGCATCTGCACGCGGCATCAGCACCTCCAGCAGCGTATAGAATGTGCCCTTCTTTAAGAACGCACGCGCCGTATTCTCCTTCCACTGATGTGCACTACTCAGATGGCCCTGCATGCGACCGAGCTCCTCCAGCTGGATGGGTATATTGAGACCACGATCGATCATCGCCTCCAGCGTGTGACAGTAGGTGACGTGATTATTTTGCTGCAATTGTTCCACAGCACGCAGCCATTCCCGTGCCTTGCGCAGTGCATCCTTTAAGACGCCATGCGACGGCACCTGCCCATTGATTTCGCTGGCGGACTTAAGAAACTGCTCAATCTCGGCCAGCTCATGCTGCTGATTGAGTCGTCGAAAATATTTAGCTGCCTGTGATTCCCATGCCTCGATAGCGGCGCCAATTTGCTGCAGTTTACGCATCTCACGATCCACATACGGATCGGTCGGATCCAGATCAGCGGCTGCCGTATGCAACAGGTTCTTTACATCCTTATAGGTCAGCTTCGAGCTGGTCTCGCGCAAGCCCTGGGAGCGTTTGTACCATTTGCATTGTTTGAGACGCTTCTGCAACTGATCCAGCTGCTGGAGCTCAATGCGCAACGAGCTGCCCTCATTGATGAGCGTCTCCAAATCGTTCTCCTCGAGCGCCTCAAGCGATAGCTGCAGCTGCGAATCGGCGCGTTCCACAAACTGTCGTCCCAGCACAAGCAGCTCACGCACCGAGGCACCCTCATCTATGATGCAGCACAGATTATCGATTTCCTGCACAAACAGCTCCAGCTCCTCCATGGTCAGCTTATATTGTGCTGCTTCCTGATTGTGATCGGAGCGGGTGCGCACCTTCAATATATACAATTTAAATAATTTTTGGTTTTAATTGTTAATCTACAGCTATACATATATATTTATGTATATGATATAACATTTAATAAACATAATAAAGCATAGCTAAAGGGAAGATTAAGTTAGGATTATGTTGGATTTTTTATAAAAAAAAAAATAATACCTTAAATTATCAAAAGTCTTACATGATGCTAACTTTATAATATTAACATATGAAATGTATATATATATATAATATATATATTTTATATACCATAAGTATATATTTAAATATATTTATAGAGTCAAAGATTTGTCCTTTCAAGCGCCTGACAAAGTAGATATACTTGGCATATATCAAAATTTTCGGGTAGAGTATAGAAAAAAAAACAATTTCGTAAAAAAAAAAAAGATTTTCAAAAAGAGAAGAATATTGCAATATTAAATTCTTCCTAAGTAAATTATGTTTGTAAAAAGATGCAAATTTTCATAAGTAAAATATTGAAAATAAATTATATATGCAATTATCACAAATCAGTTCGGATAAGATTAAGGAGCAATCTCTTACCTTATTAATGCCCAGCTGTTGTATAACCGTGACACACTTCTCCGCCTCAATGGCGGCTGCATTGAGCCGATCGATGAGCAGGGATGAGGGAAACTTTTTGGTCTCGGCCTCCTTGCAGAGCTCCTGCAGCTCGGACAGCGTCACCGATGTGGGCGTATGTGCATCGACAATGTCGCGACAACGGGATAGCCAACGCTCAAAGCTGTGCGCCTTAACCTTTAACTTTTGCAGCATCAGCGGCATCTCGTCCAGCGTATAGCGATAGATGAGCGTATGCTTCTCTGGCGCACAGCCGCAGAGTACCGTGTAGTGGCGCAGGCAGACAATCAGCTTATCGTTGCACTCACAGGCAACGGCCGATAGAAAGCAGGTGGTGTTGCACTCCTGGCAATGGCGCTCATCATCGTTGACCAATTCGAAGGCGCGTCGTTCGGCGCGTGTGACGCCCCATTCCAACAGAGATTTGCGCAGTTTCTTCTCCGTGTCAACCATCTCGGCCATGTCTATATAGCAAGCGGTCGCAATGCCAAAAGTCAGCTTGGCCGGCTCCAAGGCCATCTTGCAGACTAGCTCATCGTGCGAGAACACACAGAAGCGACGCAGCATTGAATAATGATTGACGCATTCGCGTCCCATTTTAAGCCAATCTGCTGGCGCAAAATTGACGGCCTCGGCGAAATTGTAGCCCTGATTAAAGCCGGCATGATAGGCGCGCGGAAAGGTAATGACAAATTCGCCGGCATGCTGATCGGTACGATATACGGGTACACCATTGTTCATCAATATATTGGGATTCATAATCGTGACCAGTTGATGCAGCAGATCCGGCTGCGAGGAGAATAGCTCGGGCGCGGCGCGTTTCATGGTCTCCTCGAACTGTTCGGCACAGGAGCCGGGCACACCGTACCAAGTCTTTGGCTCGCCCCAATGCAAATAGTTAATCGAATAGCTCCAGTGATCCTCGTTGTGCCAGCAAAAGGCAGCAAAGCACATGCCCACATACATCCAAGGCGCATTCATGCCGCTAATATCGGCATTAATATGCCCCAGTATTGAGTCCTCCAGTAGCGGTAGATTATTTAAATTCCAACTGGATTCGGCATACTCCTGATCACCGGGCAGCAAATAATGTGAGCTCTTTGTGGGAAAACCAGAGCCATGATCCATAGTATGCAAATCAGCGCCATATTCCACTGTAACATCCTCATCAATCGAGGAGACAATACGCCAGAATTCGCGCTCCACCATCTCCGTTGGCACCAAGTGCACAGGTTTGCGAAAATATTCCTGCTTGAACTGATCGGCCATCTGACCGAACTGCTGCAATGTGTACTCACGCTCGGCCTGCTCGAAACCAAAAGCTTCCTGCGGCTTGCTCACCTCCTCCACAACGCAACGTGGGCACAGCCATTCACCTGGTCGATAGAACAACAATGAATTAATATTAGAGATAGCAAATCTAAAGCATATAATTATTTGTATCAAAATAGCTCGAATCGGAGATATCCTGATGAATCCTAATAAAGATCATCCTCAATCAATGAATATGAGTGAGTATATTGACGAAATGAAACTCACCTTTTGGTATGCTGCTCAGTGGTGGCAACAAGCAGAAGGTATGATAGCTATCGTCGCAACCGTCACAGAGCAGCATGCACTCCTCGACATCGCCGCGATTGCAAATGTGACAGATGTACTTCATTAGCGGATCGATAAGCGGTTGCTGTGGCTCGGTGCTGGCTTTCTTTTGGGTGGCACGTGTATTGGGTGCAGGTGTTGTTGCCCCACAGCCGGTTGATTGACCGCCGCCAGCGGCACCACCACCACCACCACCACCACCACCACCACCAGCATTGACTGCATTGAAGCTGCTCAAAAGATCGCGTTTAAAATCTTCCTTGGTTTCCGTTTTGATGGTGACTGCAGCAGCGCCTGGCTTGACCGTGGTTAGGCCGCAGCTGGCATTTGAATTGCCAAAGCGCTTCGAGCGACGCGTATTATTTTCATTTGGCGGCGCGATTTGCTGACGTGTGGGTATTTCATGGGCCTTGTAATCGGTGCCAACATCCTCGAGCTTGACGGGCGTTGCGTTCACGGCAGTAGGTGCCGCGCCAGGTCCCAATACCTTACCAGAGGTGTAGACCTCAAAGGGATGAAGTATTCGCTCGTAGTGGGCTTTGAGTGTGGCACCAACACTCTTGCTGGATGGATACTGCATGCGATTGGCCACTTTGGCCCATTTGCGCTCCTTGGTGGTCTGCTCCATGCCACCCTCCTCCTGCACAATGCGATGCAGAGTATATAGATCTAGAGCTTTGCGCTCCACCATGGGGATTTTCAGGGAGGAGCCTTGCAGCTCCCAAAATTTGGCGATTTGATCCAAAAAATTCAATTTGACACGCGTCTTGGCCTCCAATTCATTGAGACGCTGGACGCGTGGCACAAAACGTAACTTATCCACATCGACAGCAAATGGCGGTGACCATTTCTCCGGCGGTAATATCTTGGCAATGCCACATTTCTCAGCTATGGAGCGTATTTTGCTAATGTATGCCAATGGATTTTTAAACTCCTCCGCTGTCGGCCGGAAAACAGGACACTCGGGCGGCGTATCAAAATGGAATTCCTCGTTCTTGCCCTGATCAAATTTATTGCTGCTATGCGGCTTGGTGTGCAGCGACTTCTTGTGCACTGTGGGCGTTGGATGCGGACAGCTATTGTGATATTTTTTGCTGGCCGAAACACTGCTGCTGGCATGATTCATCGGCACGCTGGGCATGGGGCGTTCCACGGAGCTGGGAGTCGCTCCAGTTGCAGCAGCACCACCACCGCCACCACCGGTGGCTGCACCACCTCCTCCACCAGCTGATGTTGGCATGATTCCTGTTGTTGCTGCTGAACCATCGTTGCCCGTTGCAGCTGATTCGTTATTATTATTATTATTGTTGTTGTTGTTGTTGGTATTGTTGTTATTGTTGTTATTATTATTGTGGGTACTGTTGTTGGTGTTCTTCTTGGCCGACTCGCTGCCACTGCCACCGGTTGAGTTGCGTGTGCGCAGGCGTCGCGCTGGTGTTACGGTGCCATTGGAGTTGCTATTACCGCCTCCAGAGCCGCCGCCAGTTGCGCTGGCGGCTAGATTGTCCGCCTCGGCTTTGGCGGACATGTGGGGCTTTCAATATCAAATGAACTGCTGCAACGGCTGCTGACCCTTTGTTCAGCTCTGCAAAATGAGTATAGAATGCCGTTTAGTCAACAACTATTAAAATATGGAATGAAATTTGTATATATTTATTTTTCAATAAACGCGTCTATTAGTTCTATGTACTTTCTACTTGCTCGCTCAAAATCACAGTTATTAGTAAATGTAACTCATTGACTCCCGTATACATTTCAGTTTGCTTTTTGGGGTTGAAATATCCACAATCTCAATAGACATGGCCATTTTCTAGTTTTCGGCCTGCCTGCCTGCCTGCTTGCCTGCCAAGTGTGACCAACAGACAGGCACAGCTCAGAGTTACAAGTGTGCGTGTGTGTGTGTGTGTTTTGGAACACTGCTCAACACTGTGCCAAGAACAACCAGCCAACCTTTTTCATATGGTTTAAACGCATCAACGAACGCAAGTGAAAAGTTGTAATTGCAAGAGTATAAGTAAAAGAGAGAGATGGAGAGAGAAAGAGAGTAAACACACACACACACAAAAAAAAACGCACAACCCCTCTCGTACTGGCAGTCAGGTAGGTAAACAAAAACAGTAAACGGCATTTATAGAATTAGTGTGTGTGTGTGTGTGTGTGTGTGTGAGCGCCTCTCGTCGTTTAAACGTGGGGGTTGTGTGTCGTTCCATTCTGGCATTAAAATCGGAGACTATTCTACAAACACACATACACACATACACATACAAAACATACGCACACATACAAGCATTTGCACTGCCTGCATGTGCATTTGTAGTCGGTTTAGTTCGTCTAAAGCTTGATTACATTATCAGCGTACGTTTTGATATTGATAAAAATAAAATTGCAATAATACAAAATGTATGTTTGCACCCTCAACATTTAAGTAATTCAATAGCCAGGCCACACGCCACTTCGTGCTTCTGAGGTGCACGAAAATGCATTTAAAATATCTTCATTTATTATTATAGAAAATTATTGGGAAAATGCGTAAAATCTTTTTAAAACAAACAAACTTTAATTCCTGTTTTTTACCTGCTAAAGATGTGCGTTCATAAGAAGTTTGGAATATACAAATATACAGCAAAACAAAAATTCTATGGAAAATGTAAGAAAAATTCTGGCTAATAAAAAAAATAAACCGGTTAAAGACGAAACCCGTGCAAGTTAGATTTTATTTTTCGAGTAAAATAACTGGCGCGGATCAGGTATAATCTACTATATTTCTTATTGGCAAAGTCGTAGACTGCTTTTACAACTATAATTCCATAGTATATAATTCATATTTAGTAAACAAGTTTTTTGTATACAGGCTAAAAAATGACAGGTAGGTAAGGTCATGACTGTTGACGCCGCCTCAGCTGCTAGAAAACAAATTTCTTTTTTTTTTTTGGATTATTATTTCAATGCAACAAAAGACCAAGCTCGCCTCCCCCTCAACCAAATTAAATCAATATTGAAATTAAATGTTGAACGCGTGGCCAGTTCGCATAGAAACAAACTTGAAAGCCAAAAGCTTTCATGAAGTCTCAAACAAATAAATAACATTTAGGAAAACTTTTAGCACAGTTACAAATATCTATTGTTGCGTTAAGTTCTGATCAAATAAAATTGCACGCAAATTGCGGAAAACTTTCTTTTAATAATGTATGTTTGTATCTGGATGGATATATAAACATGTCATCAGATGGAAAATCTTACCACCTGTGTCCAGTGTTGCCAACTGTTTCACCGGGTGGCAAGCAAATCGCAAAAATGGCACACACACACACACACAAACAGATGACAAGCAAACGCGTCTACGTGATCAAAGAACGCCTAATGCCCGCTAGGGACCGACGGGATGGGGGTGGCTTTTTGAGCTTACGGCGGCGTGACGTGAGAGCGAGTGAAAGAGTGTGAGTGAGCGGTGAGCGAGGCAAATGTGTGCGAGTGGGAGTTAAGTTTAGATGCAGCGCACAATTGCAGCGTTGGTAATGTACATCGTATGGTGGCATATTATTTTTATTTAGTTTTCTTTTCTACACTAACACTATCACAGGCTCAGGCACACGCCATACATCATCGTGCTTTGACAAAACTAACAAGAGAAGTTCAATAAATATTCTCGCACTTTTTTTTTTTTTTTGTTTTTGGTTTCATAAATAAATTGTGTGTGTATGTGGCGCATATTGGAAGCGTGCAACAGGAAAACATGAATTTGTTGCATAGAAAAGTGGAGCGCAAAACATACGTACATAAAATAAATATATATACATGCATGTATGTTAGTATGTACACACCTTATACAGTGTGCATGTATAACATAACGACCGATAGCAACAGAACTTACCAATTCAATACACATACATACATACATACATACATATGTACGTACTTACATGCGTGCATACATATACATATATACATATACATACGCGCGCACATCCATATGTGAGAAAATTTGTAAGACCATTTGTTCTTAGCAGCGCACGCACTCAAACCGTTGGTTTAGCTGTTACTGCTGCTGCTGGAAAAGCTCTTGCTGTCCAACATTAATTGCGTATGTTTTTCCAGGCAAAACTACTGGGCACATGCAAAATGTTTATATTTATTGTGTGATGAAATTGAAATGGTAAAAGAAGCCATATTGAAAAACGTCGCTGTCGGCATCGACGCCGGCAGCGACGTTAAAGTTCCGGTTAACGTTTTTTTTTTTTTTCCAGCGTCCAAATAGACAAAAGGAAGCCGCCGTAGCAGTCGCTGGGCAAAAAAGCTTTGCCTTTGGTGGTTGTTGTTACAGTTTACACACAAACACAAACACACACACACACGCACACATCTACAGAAAAGGTTCGCATACAAAAGTGGGGCGACGTTGCCACCACCACCCCAAAAATGAAGAAGAACAACGTCAATGCAAAAAGCAGGGAGTTAGCAAGCACGAGAGTAAAGTGTGAGTGTTGTGTAGTTTTGTCATTTCCTTGATCAGAACGACAGACAGACAGGCAGACTCTCTCTCCGCGTGAGAGCAACGAGTACCGTATTTATGTGTATGTACAAATGAGAGATGGCATAGGGAGTGCGTGAGTGCGTATGCTCCGCATGTTTATTTTCCCTTCATTTTTTCTTGCCACAATTTTTTTTTTTTTTGCTTTAATTGACGTTTGCAAAATTATTGATTGGTAAAATGCGAACGCTGCACGCTTGCCAACTATTAGAATTTCACAAAGTTGACAACGATTTGCGACAACTTATTTTGCCATATTGATCGTTAGTTTTTTTTTTTTTTTGGGAAAATAAAGCCTAACAGCCGCATGCTGTTTTAATCTAAAGCGCTTCACGCACACATAAAGGGGTTTTATATAATTTCCATTTTCAACCGAGCACACACACACACACACGCAAATTTACACACACACACACGAGCGCGCACAGGTATACGTATAGAAGCACACAACAGTATTTCTTTATACATACATAAATATATGTATGTATGTTTAGCGAAATTAGCACTAAATGTCTTTTTACTTTGTCAAATGCAATTGATTTAATGTACTTGGCTTAGCTGCATCTGAAAACACTGTTCACAAAACTGTTTTTCGTTGCCAACCAAGCCCAGTAACAGCAGAAGTAGCAGCAGCAACAACAACAACAACAACAACAATGTCTACTACAAATAGTAAGCAGTTAACAAACGTTGACGTCGACGTTGTGATTTTTACGCACTGTCCACCATATTGCACATTGAAATGTTTTATGTTTGTATGTATAATATACATATATTCAAGCATACTGTGATGTGTGTGTGTGCCTGTGTGTGTAAATGCAACACTGTACTTTTACAAAATTATATACTTTGCATAATTATTAAGTGGCCTATAATTGAAATTGATATTTCAAGCGTGGGATCACAATATTTGTAGGGATTAACTGCGCTAGACACACACACACGCACGCACAGGAGGCAGGCAGCGACGTCGACGGCAACGTCTCTGCTATGATGGCGACCAAAGGCTGAGAACGCACTTTACAACGTTGCTCCACTGCCTCGCTGTTTGCGTGAGCTTATTATAAATTCACAGAAAATTCACGAAAAATATTGTATCAATTTTGCAGCAAAGGTTTGCCTTCATAACTATATTTTCACTTTTTATTATAATTTTTTCTTTTTTTTTTTTTTTTGTAAACTGCGCTGCTAGCAGTGGTCGCAGCAGCAGCCGCACACATACAAGTTTTTTTCTTTGATTAAAACGCGGGGGGTTGATTCCAATTGTCTTTTCAGGGCGCACTTATTAACTTTAGACTTTTCATAGGGTTTCGCTTGATTTGTTGCAACGTTTTGGGCTTGGCGTATTATATGCATGCGTTTTGTCCATATTTCGCCTGCTAATTAAACATTTTCAGCTTCAGCCATCAGCGAAACTCACACACGCACGCATACACAGAGGGTAGAAGTGGAAGAAAACTAAACTCACTGTCGTCATAGGTAATGGGGCCGAGCACGCTGTTTGTATGCGTGCACTTGCCCGAAATATCTCATAGATCTACGCACACAGCACTTAATAAATTTGATTTGTATTGAATTGTTATATTTATTTTCTTGGTACTGATCTTCTCTACTGCCTTTTCAACTGCACACGACGATGAAAATCAGTGTGGCTAACTATTGTGTTTATTTAAATACCGCAATGCCGCAAGAATACATACAGAAAATACCAAAGTTAATATGTAGGCTCGTTCAAATGGGGGAGTATATTCTGTTAAGTGAGCAAGAAAATATGTTAACTGCTTGAATAATTGTGTTGTTATGCATGCGAAAATGCTGTTAAGTGAGGAGTATTGATGTTAGCTGGTGGAGCAAAATGTTCAGTATAATCACAAATACATTGAAATAAAGTTGTTGCAAGCAAATTCATGTAGCAGTTAAATACAATGTGGCAACGCTCATATTGAGACTAAGGCAAAGTTAAAGCTTGCAGTTTACAGTTTGATGTTAATAACATACGACTCAAAAAGGCTACAACTATCATACTTCTCGCACTAGCCTACAGGTTTTCTTATTTGTTGTTTCCGTCGCACAATTGCTAAGTCGAAAATCTGTGTGGCTGGTAAACACAGCTTTTCGTTCTAGTAAAATAAAACGAACCCAGTCATTAGTAATAGTTTACAATACAAGCATAACCATTCCGTAGCATTTAGTATAATTCAGTCGAGTTGTTGTTGCCGCCATCGACTCTCGCAAAATGCCCGCAGTGCGCAAATATCGTCGCGAAACAAGTGAAATCAGTTGCTGCCTCAAATATTTGCTCTTCACCAGCAATGTACTTATCTGGCTGACAGCACTTCTTGTGCTCGCCATTGGCATTTGGGCCTGGATGGAAAAGGATATGTTCCGTAATATCAGCAAGCTCACCTTTATCGCACTCGATCCCGCTTTTGTGCTCATCATATTGGGCAGCATCACCTTTATGCTGGGCTTTATGGGCAGCGTGGGTGCACTGCGCGAAAATACCTGCCTCTTGGGCGCCGTGAGTACAGCACAATAAATAATTTGCTCTCAATACATAAATAAAACCGTTGCATTATTTATTCACAGTATGCCATATTCTTAAGCGTGCTGCTACTGAGTGAGATTGGCTTTTGCGGGCTGGCGTTTGTGCTCAAGGACAAAGGCTGGGTATGTTGTTACTGCTTACGCTTAGTATGCTGCTCACGAATTGGTGGGCAAGGCTAAATTTAGCCCAACTAATGTAAACAAACCTTGTACATAACTAGTTCTTCAGTTGTTTTTACTCAGATAACGAGTATGTCATGATAAGTCTGTTTAGTCAAATACCCTTACAGATCAAAGGGTATGCTAATTGTGCCAAGAAATATTTGTAGCATGGAAAACATGCAATTCGAAAAGCTCATTTCAGAGTCTAAGAATTAAAAGAGTTACAGAAAATATATTAAAAATTACATAAAATTTTGATTAAAAAATATATGAAGAATATCATATTACATATACCAGAACTTGGCATAGAAACCCTTAGTGCTAATTGCCGATTGGGCACGATCAGGCTTTATCTTTTAGAGAAAGCTAACACAGTGAAATCTGTTATTTTTCAAAATATCTTGACCAAGCGAGGTACTTACTTACTATACTCATTTAATTTATTCGGATAATCATATTTAATATCTGACTTAGGAACAATTGTAAAGTGAGCTCTTTCCATGTGAAACCGTCGACATTTGATTTCCTCGAAAAGGCAGAAACTGAATATGGATATTTTCCAGAATCTCAATTTTCAATGCATAAGACTAGAAAGAAATAGAATAACATTTGACATTGATATATTCACAATGAATGCAGCTAACTAATTGTTTATTTAATTTGTTCATAGATCAAAGATCAGGCCACCGAGGGCCTGCGAGCTTTTATCAAACACTACCGCGAGGATCCCGATCAGCAGAATCTTATAGATTGGATACAGGAGGATTGGCTGCAGTGTTGCGGCATTGATGGGCCCAAGGATTGGGATAGCAATAATTATTTCAATTGCTCCTCGATAGCAATCGGCAGCCGCGAGGCGTGTGGTGTGCCCTTCTCCTGCTGTCGCCGGCGACCGCAGGAGGTTATCAAGAACAAGCAATGCGGCTACGATGTGCGCAAGGAGGGCTATGTAAGTTTATTTATGAGTCTCTCTCTTCTGGTGATCTGCAGGCTTAATCCTTTTTATTAATAAACGCATGCAGCCAGTGGATAGAAATATACACGAGCGTGGTTGCTTGCGCGCTGGAGAGGATTGGCTGGAGACGAATCTAATAGGCGTGGCTGCCTCCTGTGTAGCCCTGCTCATCACGCAGGTGCTGGCCAGAGCTCAACGATAATTGTCTTGCTTTTGTCTCAATTTATGTATTTTTATTATCATTATTGTTAACTTTATTGGCATTTGCGTTGCTTTAGTTGCGTTCTGATTTGATTTCCGATTTTCTATTCACGGCACAGGGCATGGAGCTGTCCAAGATTATTTATGAAAAAGGCTGCGTCCAGGCTGGCGAAGAATGGATTGAGCATAATTTAATTATCATTTCCACGGCAGCTATCGGTGTTATGTTTTTTCAGGTCTCAGTTTGTTTTCGTTTATTTGTTTTATATTAGACGTCTAGCGAATGCATTTATTTATACGCTTTTATATGCTTACAGATTCTGGGCATTTGCTTTGCGCAAAACCTACGCGCCGATATCTATACACAAAAATCCAAATGGCACTGACAAATGGCGCACGCTGCCCCCACAGCACTCTAGACAGGTAAGGACACAATCACAGTAACAACAATTAGCGGCAATTGAACTTTAGCAACAACAACTGAACAAACAACTCAACAACTACAACAACTACAACTATAACAACACAATGCATCATCTAAATCTACGCTTCGGTTAGTTACCTATACTATAATTACCTAACTATATATATGAGTGTCTACTAAACGCAAACGCATTCCGTCTCTATGGACATTGACTAAACTATTAACTAGGTTGCCAAATTTTTTGCTGTTTTACGTACGCTTCGTTTTACCCAACATTTTCTATACATTTTTACATAAAATCGACGAACGTGAGTAAAAAAAAATTAACTCGAAATGCAGCTGTGATATATTTTTAGTGAATGTATAGAAACGAGACGAAAAAGAACAAAAACAAACAAAAAGAAAAATTTATATATATTTCAATTGCAAAGAAAATTTGACGCACAACAAGACCTTCGGCACACCGAAGCTTAAAAATACCCTAACAGAGCGAAAAAAACGCACAAAACAGAATTTTTGTATTAACAAGAAATAAAATTAGCGAGATATTTGTTATATAAGCTAAATAGAGAAGCTGTAGATAAATAAATGAAGCTCACTTTGAAGTCGAAAACTCGTCTGTAAGGGTATTTAGAGCACAAAATGTCATTTCTTATGTAAGCAGCAAAATCTATCACTATGAAACCTAAACAAAAAAAAAACAAATATTTTTTATAACACCAATGAACAAAAACCAGAAACTTTTGCGTGGGGGCACATGAAAAATATTAAAAAAAAAAAATTAAAATAAAAATACAATTTAAAGTAGTTTGCTAATTAGATTTTTGACGAGCTTGCAAATATATAAAAAATATAATAATTAATATATAACTCATGTGTGTATATATATATATTTTTGCATAATACCTTTATTTTTCCGCTAATGTATTTCCTTATTTGCACTGTGCTGCAAATTTAAACAACTTGTATTATTGCATAAGAGCTACTAAGCACGTGAGTTGTGTTCATTATGAGTTTTTCAAAATAAGACTGCTCTCGAATTAGTCGAAACAACTTTGGCACACAATGAAATAATGTTTGTAAACAAGTTCGTCAGTTCGGCAGTTCGTTAACATTGAACAAAATATTTATAATACGATCGAGATATGAGATCCAAGATATATATAACATATTTAGATTAACAAATCCAAGGAGAACATTCTGTTTGAACTGTAGATTAGCTCAGAAATAGGTGAAAAACAATAACGTATAGGAATCTGAGTTATATTCTGTTGTATGTATTAGAATGTGTTGTATTATTTGTCGTCCCATTTAAACACTGCCCTAAGAAACCAATTTTAATATAACATTTTTGTAAAAAAAAAAACCTCCCTCTATTTGTATTTCGAAGAATTTACATTCGAACACCAAAATGAGTCTCTAACATTTTTGAAATATTTTTGAGAATCTCAAAAATCTCTACAAATTTATTGATATTAACTGAACACGGTAATATCCCGCAAGACAAAGTATTTTTTACTGGATAATCTCCATTTGCCAATGAACACAATATTTCACACAAAACACAAATTATGAGAACTAAAACTACATCTAAGCGAATAAGTTGAATTCCACAAGGAACAACATAAAGAAAAGTCGAGAAATTTCTCAAGTTTTATAGCGTTTACCGAAAAAGTCAATTGATAACGAGCTAAATAAAATAAAATGTAATTAATTAAGCAATGTTTATTGTAATAATAACAGCTAAGATTAGCAAATATTATAGCTTGACAAGGTTGTTGTGGTCAATCAATAACTGCTTCTAATAATACGAATAAAGAAACGCTTGTAAATTATAATAAAAAAAAAACAACGCCTGGATTCTACTTTTGCGCCTCACCGGACTGACCGTCTAGCTGAGCAACTGCATCGAACTGCACGGCCGGCAGCTCCGCACCGTTGAGGGTTTTATTGCAACGTTGATACTCGAGCAGCACCAATGAGTTTTGGCCCACTTTGAGCAGCTCGTTGGGCACATAGAGTGTTATTTGTGGCCCGGCCAGTGGCCAGTAGCGTCCCAAATTGAAGCCATTCACATAGGCCACACCCTTGCCCCAGCCGGCGACATTCAGATAGGTGTCGCCCACCTCGGTCACCTGAAAGCTGCCCGTATACAGAATGGGTCCAGAGCGCAGCAAACGCTGCTGGGCAATGGACGGCGCCAGGGCAGTGTTCATCTCTGTTTGCCTCTGGCGCCATGCCTCTACGGTGTACGCCTCCAGCGGATAGCCCGTGGTTGTCCAGTTGTCCAGCGGCAGAGCACCGCCATTGTGCAGCTGCAGCGTTACCTGCCCAAATATGCCTTTGGTATCATTGGCGCGATCATAATTGACGCGTCCCTGGTTCTCGACGAGCAGCTGCAGTGTGCTGCCCCAGCCTTTGCTTAGTGGCAGCGCATAGATGCGCGCCTCCCTCGACAGCGTGCCCACCAGCTGCTGGTCCACAAATACATGAGCCCGATCGCGCAGGTCGTCCACCTGCAGCAGTGTTGGATCCAGATCGAAGCTGGGCAGCGTTGTCTCGTAGAGCAGCAGGCCTGAATACTGATCCAGTTCCTCAAATGATTTGGGCTTATCAGATGTCACCGGTGTGCCCTTGGAGAGGGCGGCACGTCCCTCCGCCGAAAGCAGCTCCAAAGCGGGCGTCAGCTCCACTTTGCCATAGGCCAAACGCTTGGCGGGATTCAGATTAATGTCGGGCAGTTCAAGCACTTCGCCTATCACCTGCTTGACCAGCTCATATTTCTGGGTCACACCGCCCGCCTCGTCCATCACGGCGTCGTAGTCATAGCTGGTTATATCCGCCGTATAGCCAACGCTGCCATCCAGATCATAATTGGCGCCGGCCGTAAAACCAAAATTGGTGCCGCCAAAGAACATGTACAGATTAACGCTGGCATTGTAGCTGAGTATGGTCCTAAATGTGGTAAGTGGAACAATTGTTAGTGCACAATTAAATATTAATAAGCTGTTTCCTTAATATTACTTCAAGGCGTTGGCCACCACCTGACCGTCGCGTCGCTGATTCGTCTCTTGCCAATGGGTCAGCCAGCCAGGATAGAACTCCGAGTTGACCAGCGGTCCTGTGGGCTGTACACCGCGCAGCAATTTCCAAATATTATCGATCTCGTAAACTGGCAAATGAAAGGTGCGTCTGTGCTCCTTTATTTTACTTTATGGTATATCTTTATTTTTGCACTCACCGCGGTCGATGCCAAAGTCTGTGGTAGCGAATACATTGTCTATTTTGCCGCAGTGCATCCGTTCATTGGGTATATCCACGGTGAACATAAGCGCTTTGTTTTCCACATATTTATCGGTCTCATCGCGCAACCAGTTCAAATAGTCATGATCGCAGGCGTTGAACGCGCCGTATTCATTCTCAACCTGTACCATAATGATCTTGCCGCCGTTGCCGATGAACAAATGCTTCAGACGTGGCATTAGCTGCTCATACCATTTGCCCACCTCCGCTATATAGTTGGGATCGTTTGTGCGCACTTTGATGTCCGGATATTTGGTAAACAGCCAGTGGGGCAGGCCACCCTGTACGGGTTTGTTTCAAGGGGGTTGGGGGTAAATCATTTTACTATCCTGCGAAATGCCACTTACATTATCTCGCTCGGCGCAGATGTAGGGTCCGGGTCGTAGTATAATATAGAAGTCCTCCTCTTGGGCTATTTCCAGAAACTTAACCACATCGGCTATGCCCTCCCAGTTGTATACGCCATCGTGTGGATTGTGCAGGGACCACTCAACGTAACTGGGAAGGGAAAGATTAACTTAAAAAACACGGACTTAAAATGGCTAAACTAATTCCTTGTCCAAGACCTTTACATAATTTAGCCACATTCATTATTTGAAATGTTTTTGTAATCGAATCAGTTATTAGTCATTTTATAGTATAATTTTTAGGTGGCATAAATATAACATATAAAACATAAATATGGAAAATATAAAATATGTAGGGTCTACAATTTATGGATGAATGGGCAATTCTTGTAAGAGACAGACGGAATACACTCAGACCTAATCAAATATCTATATAAATATATATTAGTCCATATCTTGTTCGATAAGTATTTAACAAGTTGTCCCATTTGAAAAGTAGTTTATTATTTTTTAAATATTATTTGTCTTTTGTCATTTAAATTTAGTTTCTTTTTAAACCAAGCTAGTTTGAGGCCCATCAACAATATTTCTTGTGCCCATTTAGCAAAAAAATAATTGTGAATTTGTTAAATTACTTTAATTTTTGTTGTTGTTTATCATCAGTTTGTTTGAGGCACAGTTATCAGAGCTATTCATTATTTTGATTCATAATTTTCCTAGCCTTTGAGTTAGTCACGTCCTACTACAGTCACGTCCCACGTCCTACTACAGTCACGTCCCACGTCCCACGTCCTACGACCTACGTTCACATTCTACTACAGTCACGTCCACCAACTATAAAGCATTAGAACTACTCACGTATCCAATGCATTGAGACCAGCCGCTCGCATGGTGCGCAAACGATTTCGCCAAGCATCGGGCAGAGCTCGAAAATAGTGAAACGATCCGGAGACATAACGAAATGGTTGTCCATTTAATAGAAATGTATTTGCCTGGTGATCAATGCTAAAGACGGGCACGTCCTGTTGCTGTTAAAAATCCAATGCAAAATTCGTTTGACCTCACAAAAATTCACTCGAAAAGCTCACCTCGCTGACGCCGTTCCCGTCCCCGCTGAGACCCACACAAAGGCCGACAGTCAGGGCGATTATCAAAATTAAAACACCGCCGATCATGGCCAATGTTCGCTTGCGTGTGCAGCGCAATTTGCCACCGCGCGGGCCGCCGTTGACACTCATGTTAAATGATGGGCTTTAAAGCTCGACCTCGACTCACGCCTTAAGCTTTAAGCTCGACTGTAAAGTTTGTTTTTTGTTCTTTAACAGCAAGTTTTCAATTACGACCGCTTCACAGCTCTGCGCGGCGCACAATGTCAGTGGATATCGGTTTCGGGTTGCTGGCTGGCACTTTGATCGGCCACTTTCTGAATACATAAATAGTATTTATATTCTTATGTATTCTGATAAGTTCGCCTGGAGTGCCTGATAAAGCTAGTGTCGGGCTTAAGTTGAATGCACATCGTAATTGTTTTCGAACAATCACATTTTTCTTCCACAAGTGGGGTCTCATTATCGTTATTTCAGTATTAGTTCAAGTAGCTGCAAATAAGCATATCTATACTGATTTAAAAACATCTAATCGATAATTCCTAATAGCCCAATAAAATTTGCTAATATTTTGCACTCTTCATAAATTTCCCATTTAATATTAAGCTTAAGTCTTTCTCTATTCGCATCCTCTTGAACATTTTTACTTCTCATCCAGATTGCCGATCTATGCACTTTCTTATGAAATTTTCAAATCTTACGAATCAGAGCCTTTTTAAATAGTTTTTGCCCATTTTGCTTGAATTTAACCCGACTTGTTTGCAGTTGTTCTCATCTTTCTCGTGCCCTTTTCCTACTTGCACTGTCAAAAATTCTACTTGAATATATATTGTTTTACCCTTGCCCTTGCTTATGACAGTTATCGCTCTTGTACTGCAAGGCACTCGTGTTTATGTATTTCGAAGTGGTTCAAACGTTTCCTTTATTTTCTTTATTATAGTTTACCGCACTATCACTTATAAAATTGCAAAAAATTATATTATATCATCAGTAAGTGGTTTACACTTGTTTCAATTTATATATATGTGTGTTTATGCGCGTACAAAGATGCGTTTGATTAAGTGTATATTGTCGAATCTATAGTATGTATAATACTTTATTTAGTTGAATATATGTGTTAAGTACTAGACTATAAATGCCTTTGGTAGTGTGCTTCAATATATTGGATAATGCCAACTCTCTCAGAGAATCAACATATGACTATATTTAGTTGTTAATACATTTTGATTACGTCCAGCTTGAAATTGTTATTGTTATTGTTAATTGAAGGAGTGTTTTAACAATACTAATTAGTTTCCTTGGCTTAACTAAATTTTAAATATGTTTTCATTTTGTTATTTTTATAAATTATTTGAACTGTAACAAAAGTGCTTCTATTTTGCTTTTGTATAAAATTATACACACATTGGCTGAGGTAGAAACAGCACGAAATTACAGTGGGTTAGAGCGAAATTGTGGGAGAGCTGGGATATAGAAGGACTAAAGGACTAGTACAAGGACTTAGAAGTATAAATTTTTGATTGTGTTAAGTGTTATCAGCCTACACACTAGAGTCCATATAATATCGTTGTTGTAGAGTTTTCAAAATTAGGCGCTCACGCTGCAAAATTTATCTGCCATCAGTGTTAGCACCTTCTCTAGCTTTCCATGCCGATCCTCGGGCTTAGCGGTGGCCCCTGAACTGCCCCACAGGAACTTGACGTGAAATTCGGTGCTGAAAGCCAAAAAGCAACACGCTATAAATAAAATAGATAAAGTTATAGAAGATAGACTTACCGAAAAGCATCCGCTAGCAGTTCATCTAATCTGGTGCTCGCCTCTTCCATGATAATTTTGGCATTCTTGCGATATAGATCCAAGTTCTTGAGAAATCCGCGCGATGCATCCAAATGCTGAAAGTTGATGGACATGCCAAAATCATCTGCCTTGGTTTCCCAAGGCGCAATGCAGGTATTATAAAGCGCAGGACGCTCATCCACATTGCCATGATTGATAATATCCAGCACGGGCCTATCAATAAGCAGAGCATAGAGCAGCACATGGGGCACAGTTGTGTTTGGCGCCTGCGGATTGGAAGCCTCGTTCATGCTGCTTAGAGTCGGGCGCAGCTTGGCCTCAAATGTGAAAGCGCTGTCCGTATATTTTTGACGCAGAATATGCCAGGCCTGGTCAAGTTTTTGTATCTGAAAAATCGAAATTAATGCAGACATTAGAGATTCTAGATTTAAGATTCTAGCCAACCAACCTGCTGCATGCACAGGCCCAACATAATAGCACAAAAACCGAAGAGATTGCCCAACGCTGTTTTTGTTTCCACCGCAATTTGTATCCACTTGCTCAGCAACTCGGCGCGATCCAAATCCGTTTGACAGGTGAGTATGGTCACGGCAACCATTAGCTTGATGCACTGCGTTCGCTCGATAAGATCCTCGCGAAAAACTTTGCCATGCGGCAGAGTCAGTAGCTCCAGGCCTGAACAGCTTAAATAACAGTCCGTCTCATTTGCCGGCTCGTCCAGAAATAGTCCAATGTCGATGCGTGTTATGTGCTCGGCCAGCAGCTTGGGACCCGTTTCCAACAGCATCATCTTGAACGTGTTCAGTGCATCTCCATCCAGCGGCTTGTTCTCCACCGATGGCAGCAGCAACGTACTAAAGTTCTCAAAATCAAATTTGCTGCTCTGAAATGGGAAAAGCGAATGAATTCTATTAAAACAAAAAGTTGATTCTCACAATTATTAGCGCAAGTTAAAATCTAATCAAAATCGCGTTGCCAATAACATTTAAATTGTTGCGCGTACCTTGCCACCTGGATGCAAAAGCGTATTTTGATATTTTGCACTTAAATAATATCTGGGCACACACATTGCCAAAACAACTGTAGCTTTATACAAAAATTAAAGTGACAAATCAAATAAAAGACTGTATACAATTAAATCGGCAACGAAAAAAATCCAGCAAAGCAAAGAAAAATTCGTCGTCTGTTTCTTATGGTTCGGCAGAATTACGCTGCATAGCTACATATAGTCAAATGAATGCGCATAAGTTGGCAATATCTGGCTTCAATAATTCGCAATTGGCTTAAAAAAAAAACGGCCACACCTCGGCAAAACAACCGTAACTTTTTAAATGGCGCGTACATCAATCGGTTGCGTTTTAGTAAATTAAATTACATATTTGTGTGCGCGCGCGTGTGTGTGTGTGTGAACTGATTGCTATTTATCATGAAAATAAACGAAATTGAATTCTCACCAGTTTAAACTCCTCAATGGGCAGCGTGAAGAGCTGCTCCTCGGCGGCCAAAGCATCGAATTCAGTAAAGCTCTTGAGCGTGCCATTGGATGCGGAACTGCTCATGTATCGAGGATTTTTGATAATGACGCCGCCACGTTGTATGCTCAGTTCGCTGACATCGCCTGGCGCCGAGTCGCCTGAGCCATTGCCCGAATCCGAGCCGCTGGCCTGATATGCCAACACTGCGGCCATGGGCTCCTTGCGTGGCTTGGGCGGCGGACTTGGCGCGCGATCTGGCGTATCTAAACTGAAATTGCGCGCCAAATTGCAAATGCGCGCCGCAGCCTGCTGACGTAGCGCCTGCGCCGCCGAAGTGCTGGGACGCGGCAAAGATTGTGTGCTGAACTTGTGCTCCAGCTGTTGCGACTGCAACTGCATATCGATGGTGGGATTACAGCGTGCAATGGTCTGAAATCGCGCCAGCCCGTGTCCATTGGTTGCATCTGCTGCGGCGAGCTGCTGCTGCTGCTGCTGCTGCTGCTGTTGTTGCTCCTGCTGCTTGTTGATGTTGCACACGACCATGGCCTGGGCGGGTGTCAAGCTCTGTGAGCGCTGCTGCTTCTTGCAGGGCAGCCTGGGCGGCGGCACCTCCCGGCGCACCCGAGGCGGCGAGCAGTGAGGACTAGCTGGCGTTGCTGCCGGCACCGTTGCCTGCTGTTGTGCCGGTACATCGCCAGCTAGTTGGCCAAAGCGAAAGATGGCGGAGCCACCTGCACTGCTGTTGCCCATGGGCGAGTTCAGTGGACTGAGGCCACGCAGTCCGGCCAGCATTTGTGTGTGCAGCTGATTGCCCACGATCTTGTGGCCATAGAAGGAGAGTGGATATGTGCGATTGCATGGATACTGTATCAGAGCACCCGAGGCAGCTGAAATGGGCTTGCCAGAACCCACATAAAATGTGATCAGATCCGGCACCGTGTCAAAGGCATCTTCCTCGAACTGATATTGCACGCGCTCGTAGACAGTCTCAGGCTGAAGCACCAGCTGCAAAAAAAATTGGGAAAAACAGGTGAGTGTCTAAATACAGTTATTGCTTGGGGATATTATTAAAATATTTCCCTAAATAAATATTATATGTTATGCGAGCTGTGGATTATTCACTTTGATTTAAACTAGAAGTCATTTATAATTTTTATGAACATCTATGCACAAATCTTGAAGATTTTGAATATTACTATTGAATTGTTTTCGGATTTGTGGGGTTTTTTCTTCGAAGATTCTCTACCCAACCTACCTTATTAAGCACAAAATGCAACACAGCTGATTTGCTGCGGCAGGTGAGCACATAGTTATCCGGCTGGGAGGCGCAATCCCGCACCAGAAAATCGCCCTCTCGCTGAACAATCTCCTCGGCACGCTGACGTGGCAGGGCACCGTGGTACCAGGCATGCGAGCGCAATTCTCGTGCATCCAAACTTAGTTCCCATTCGAGTGCCTTTTTCAGAGCAATGGCCTCCTGTTGCTCGTTTGGATTGGGCGAGGCGGCAATGGGTGTGGACACGTTGCTGTTGTTGCCGCTTTCCATATCGTTGGCGTTATTGTCCCAATGCGGACTGTTGCACTTGGAGCGCGGTCTCAGTTCCTCATAGCTGCAAAGAGAGCGTCAGAGAGTGAGAGAGAGAGAGAGAGAGAGAGAGTGCAAGTGTAGAAATTTCCCTTATTATGGGTAATTTATGTTGTGTGGCTCTGTTCATTGCCCTCACGGCCGGGCTTTTATTGAAAAGGGAAATTCGCTCCCACAGGATTGTTCCTTGGTATATGTGAACTTTTGTCTGAAGTTCAAGTGCAAAAAAAAAAATTCACTAATCTATCAATAGTAAAATTAAAAAAAACCGTTTACTAACATTTGCGCCTGCTTTAAGATATATTCTAATTTTTTCTAATTTTGGTTTTAAATAATTCATATTTTGCAACAATTACAAGCTGTTATCACTCACCTGCAACGCCCATTTGGTTAGAACGGTTT